TATAAAAATTATTTAAAATAAAATTTTAATTGTCTAATTGATCTACTATTATTTATTATTTGAAAACAATGGAATATTTCAGAATTACTATAGTCATAATTATATTCTTTATTTGATTGATCAATATTTATTTCATTTACAGTATCTCGAAGTAAATAATATCGTTCATTAAATTGTTTCATTATTAACTCAATGACTTTTTTTTATTTAGCCACTGGATGATATTGGTTTTTTCTTGGTTTACCATAATAAATTTGTCGTAATTTCATTCTTCTATTTTTATCTTTTAGTTCAACAAATAAATCATTTCTAGATTGTGATATTCATGTAAATCATTAACTATTTGATAAATACTCAAATATTTATATAATTTAACACAACCTGATTGATGATTAATATATCGTCAATAAATATAAAATCAAATCAAATGGTGTATCATATGAAAATATCCAATATATAAATATAAAAACCATTCACATATTCTATGAAGAAATTTCTTCAATATGAGTCATATTTAAAGATATATTTGTTGGTAAAACTGTCATGGTTATACTGAGTGCAAAACAGAAAAAAGAAAAACGTCTTTATTGTTATGCATCATTAGTTATAGACATTGATACAAAGAAAAATCCGTTATGAGAAAAAACAAGCTATTTTTAATGATTAAATAATCACCTTGAATGTATATAGATGAAATAAAATGTATATAAAATTATCAATATTTTTCTAAATAAAATTTTATATGAAATTTTTTATTTAAATTAGTAATAGGAATATATTTGCTGAAAAAAAAATGCCTTTAATGATTTAATGCAACATAAAAACTATTGATAGTTAAGATCATGATAAAGTACTCAGACAAGTATGCATGTCAAGTTTTGTATAGCTATTTTCTTTTTCTTTTTTGGCATGATAATCTTTTTGTCAACAATTGTTAAACTCAAGTATTAAATCATTATTGAGCATGTAATCTTAGTTATCTTTTTTTTTCTAAATAGTACTCATCAGTACAAATTTAAACTAATTTTAATGTCGAAGAAGTTCAAAAATATATTGACGTGAAAATAAAAATGAAAACTTAAGGACAACTTGCCCACCTTTTGTGATCGAAAATTTTTGTGTTCATTGTATAGTCTGAAGTAGTTTCTATCTATTGACTATATTTTGAGGTTCAAAGATTATCTTTAAACGCTAAAAGGTTCGAGAAGAAATCAAATTTACGTAATAGAAATAGTAAATTGCGTTCCTCTCAAACCAACTTTTTATTTCTATGAAAAAAAGTGCAGAAACGCTCTCAGTTTCTCCAGCCTGTTAAATTGGATGGTAGCTCTTACAAAAAAAAACATACATTTTTTAGAGTACCTTCGATATTTTCGCTTTCTTATTCGAAGGACAAAAAATAAAAGGATATCTACTTCAAACAGTGTCAAGTGTCTGTAAAAAAAAAAATTCTGCTCGATCGAACATAGCATCTCGAAGAAACGTGCGGGACCACAGACAGAATTGATTTTAATAAAATAATATTCCGAGATTGCCAGGATTGGGAGGGGTAAGATTGATGATCAAGGAAGCCAATTGAAAGATTTTATGAAGGGTGACCGGTTTTGGAGAGAGGAGTTTGAACGTTCTTTTTGGGAATCGCTGAACAAAAAAAAAATAATAGAACGCTCGAAAAAAAGAAAAATTTTTTTAGATTGAGAATGTCACCCCTTCCACTCGGTACACCGCTGCTTTAACAGATATCAACAGCAGAGCTGTCTGATTAAAAGCTTAAAAATTAGAAAGAGCAATTGATTGCAGACGAATAACTATTATGTTAATATGTTGACAACGAATGGTCTACTGGATTTCTGTTTATTGACTTAAATTTTATTTTCAAAAGTATTTCACTATAAAAAAAGACAGTACAGTTAATATATTGTTTAGATAATATAAAAACACTTAGTATCGGACTCGTTTGCTAAATGCAAAATTCATTCGCACAAAAAAAAAAAAATACAAAAACAAATCACACTATTACTATATAGGTTCAGACATCCTACGGAAGAAAAAAATTAAGATTTCATCATATCAATTCGATATTATTGTTCATATTTTCCATTTTTTTTTTCTAATATGCTTTATCAAGGATGGATGCGGATGAAGGGAAGATCCACACCTTAATGAAGCTGTGATATAAAAAAAGTTCAGAATTTGGAAAAACAATCCGAAGGTCAGAGAGTAATCAGAAATAAAGATGTAAGGCGATGGATTTTAGTTTGGGACATTGGAAATTTTTCAAAATCAAATATTTATTTTGTCATGTTATAGTGGCATCTCAATCGAAGGCTTACACCTCCAATCAGAAAAATGTTCAAATTTCAGAAACTTTTCAGAAGATCTGACAACTCTGATCAACAATTAGATTTATTCATCGTAAATGTAATTAAAGAGTAAAATTCAGAAACTTTTGTTTTCTATGCTTTATTTATACTTAATATAAAAATGAAATATAGAACATTTAGTCCGATAAAACAATTGAAACTGGAACTATAAATCAAAAACATACACATAAAAGTGTCTAACGATGATTCAAATGCATATCGGTTTCCTTTAAAATTAGCGCACATGGAGATCAATTTAGTTTTACTAAGCCATTTTGATATTGATCCAGATTTTCCTGTTGAAAACAAAAAGTAGAAGTTGTTTCTCTCTCACTTTATTCTAAAATTTGTAAGATTATACAAATTATCCAGCACTTCTATCGTTGTATTCAGATATATAAAGACTATCTTTTTTTTTTTCAAAAAAAAAGCTCACATCGTTTGAGCATAACTTTGATAAATCTAAACGAAATTTCTAATGATAAGAAAAGAAAAAGCGACCTCTTTAGAATTAATTACTTCGATTGGCTGTCAATAAACAATCATGTAGCTATTCGTATGTGTCAGTGAGTTTTTTCCAAACGAAAAATCAAACAAAAAATCGTTTGATGTACTTTATATTTTCTAATTTAACAATTTAAATTACCTTATATCGTTTAGGTTATTTTATTCAAGCATATAATTATTTATTAATAACTAATAATTGATGGGCTTATAATGGTAACATAATATATTCAAAAGACATATTCTTTAATAAAAAAAAAGTGTCAAGCTCGTATTGAATATGTTGATCAGAATGGTATAATTAAGCCATGATATACGAAGTTGATCATGACATATCAAACTGTATCAATGAGTAAATGATTCAGCTGAAAATGAAGTAATAATTCTTGGTTAGTAGACTACATATATATTTGTTTTATAATTATAAATTTATCGTTTAGATATTCGTGTCAAGGATACTCTTATTGAGAGAACAATACCTATGATATTTATTATATTATTATGATTCATTTGATAATGTATTCATAATTATAATTACATGATTCAGATCTTATTAGTAAGTAATCAATATTTCTTTCTCAATATCAACAAATAACAAAAAAAATCTATAGATCATTTAAATTTCATTACTATATAAGACAAGTATTATTTGATAGAGATACAAAGAAAATAAATAAATTATTAAATTGATTCATTAACTATTCCCTATTAAATATTAGATAGATTAAATTAGCTTACTATATTATACTGGAATTAAGTTTTAATAACTTTTTATGGAAATTTTTCTACTTAAAAAAGATAACATATTAAGGACAATTTTCTTTGTTTCTATTCATTCTTTTCATAAACTAACGAAATTTTCCTACTCTTTGAGTATGAGCATCAAAATGAACTTTAACTAAAAAATAAAAAGTGTACTTTGTAATAATTTAAATCGGTCAGTATATACTCTGATCTATTTAATAATATAAAAGTCTTTGTTTGTCTTTTTTTAACTGTGAACAAAATAAGGAGAAAATATTTTGATATTCGAAAATCATATTGGAAATCAACATTGAAAACTACAGCGAAGGATGTATAATGTATTAGTGTTTTTTTTGTAAAAAAGTTTATTCCACGTATATGTAGAGTAAGGATTTCTGATTTTTTGAATTTGACTTATTCAGATTATATTGATATTTGAGAGATAATAAAGCAATATTGAGTAGAAAATAAAGTCTTTCGAAGTTAAAAAAAGAATTACATATCCATCTGATTTATGAAAAAATATTCGCTATGTTCTGAGTATTATATTTAACTTCATGATTGTGATTTCATCTACATAATCATTAGCTTAGAATTATTGATAATTATTTTAATCGAAAATATATTTTGATATTACTAAAATAAAGCAATCAATATAATATGATAGATCTAGGAGTGTAAAATATTCAATTTATACAAACATGATTGTTAAAATAATCGTACGCAATGTTTTATAAGTATATATACACATTCTATAGTCTTTGTCTTAGATGAACCAATCTTTTCATCATTTTTTTTTGTGATTTTCTACAGAATAATGAAATTTCTAGTAGAATGTAGTTCAGATTTTATAGATATGATCTATTGTTATTACCTCATTGCATTTATAAAATATTTTTATTTCGACACTAGAATCAAATAAAACTATTGAATAATTCAGTTCAATGAGGAAATATCATTGTATGTATTTTATTATATTGATCAATGTGGTCATCATTTTTTCATGACGACTTGTCCTATATTTGGATGATAGGTGTAAAAGAGTATATATTGTAAGTGACGAAGTAATTCAGTGAAAGTTAATGAAGCGTACTATAGATATCGACAATGACGTTGAATAATAAAAAAGAACGTCACTCTCAATGGACAACTAAGCGTTGACATTCATTTTATTTAAAAAGAAATTCTTTTTTATTCATTTATTTTTTTTAAGTACTTAATATTGTTGAGTAATGTTGCTTTTATTTTCATTGGGAAGCAACTAATCAGGATATTGACATTTATTACCAATCAAACAAATAAGAAAAAAAAAATGAATAATTTATTATTAAACTTTATATCATAAATAAAATATCAAAAAAAAAGTTTTGTTTTATTTTTCAGATAGATATGTCTCAAATTGTCTCATTACGTGCATTACGTCCAAATTCAACTATTACTAATGCATTGCGAAGGACAAGTTCTGCACATCGACTATGTCAATATTCAACTTTCTCAACATCATCTAATCAAATTTCAATTGTAGAAAAGAATAAATCTTTAAAACGAGTAAGAATAAATCTAATATTTATTATAAACTTTAAACATAGAGAAATAATGTTCTACTTAATTCTCTTACGTCCTCAAAAATCGCTCTTCGGTTTCTTACATTCAAATCATTTGAAATTCTCAGTTCTATATCATGATGGAATGTACAATTAAAAAAACGACGTGCCAAATAAAATTGTGAAAGATCTAATATCAATCTATCTTTTCATGCATTCATATTAATTTCGATTAATCTGCTAGAAATGAACTTTTTTTCGAGAAGTGGCGAGAATCTTGATCCAATTGTTATCTTTTCTCTAGACTCACTCTGTTCATACAATGCCTATCAATTCTTCTTCTCATGCTTCAGTTTATGCATTTATTCATCATCTTCATACAAGCCCAGAATATTGTATATAATAATTTTTTTATTGAATTTGAATCATATCATGTATCTTTTTTTTTTATAATTAGTTGACTTGATTGATGTATGGACACCATCAGTTCCTGAATCAGTCAAAGAAGGTACTGTTCGATTATTAAAAAAAGTTGAAGATAAAGTATTTACTGATGAAATAATAGCTGAAGTTGAAACAGACAAAAAAACTTTTAATGATGATGATATTACATCCGATGCTCAAATACCCAAACTTAATACAAGTGATGATGTAAAACTAGTATCAGGTTTGTTTCTTTAATAAATAAAAAATAATTCGTTATAATTTTTCTAATAGAAAATAAAAAAGATGAATCGATAGATAAAGTCAATACTGAACAAACAAACGAACAATTATCTACGAGTTCAATTTCATCTAAACCAACACATAAATTAACTACATCAACTAAACAACAAGTTAGTGCAATTGATACAAATAAAATTCGTAATACACGATCAGAAACACGTGTAAAAATGTCAAGAATGCGTATAAGAATAGCTGAACGTCTTAAACAAGTACAAAATACATGTGCAATGTTAACGACTTTTAATGAAATTAATATGAGGTTAAACAAAAGATCTATTTAGAATTGATGTCTATGATTATTCTTTTTCTTTTTTTTAGTAATATTGTTGAATTTCGTAAAAAATATGCTGATCAATGTCTAAAACGTCATAACATTAAATTAGAATTTATGTCAACATTTGTTAAAGCATCTGCATGTGCTCTTTTAGATAATCCTATTGTTAATGCAGGTAATAAATAATGTATTATAAACTATTTCGTAACCACTTTTTTTAAAAAGCTATTGATGGAAATGAAATAGTCTATCGTGATTATGTTGATATTAGTGTTGCTGTTGCTACACCAAAGGTGATTTATTAAAATGAAAGCAAAAAGAAAAACAAACAAATAGTCCTTTACTTTAGGGTTTAGTTGTACCTGTTCTTCGAAATGTCGAAAAAATGAATTATGCTGATATTGAACATGCAATCAATGAATTTGGTGAAAAAGTAAAATATAGAGTTTTTGAAATATATATATTTTTTTTATTTCTATAGGCAAAAAATGATTCACTTACTATTGAAGATATGAATGGTGGAACATTTACAATAAGGTAAACATTTTTTTTTCTTCCTTTAAACTAAGGAGCTATCGTGACTGATTTTTTTTAACGGGAATTTATTGGTTCTTTCTAAAGCTTTAATTCCTCAATAGATCTATTCGAGATACATATAACTTCCTAATAACATGAATTAGTTCTTCAGCGGATCGATCCATATTGCTAATTACCAATTCTAAAATTTTTACAACTAACTAACGACTAGAATTTGGAGCTTCCAAAACAAACTGGAATCGATTTTTTTAAAATTTCTTGGAATCGGAACCGTTAAATCATCAGACATATCATTCAATACAATTAGTCAATACTATGTAGTAATTTGTATAATCGTCTATATCACATTCTCGAAAGAGCTTCGAGTCGACAGTAAAGAGAGTTTAATAATCCAAACTATAAAAATAGTTAGTAGATACAAAAAAAAGAGATAATCTATTCTGTCAGTCAACTCATTTATAGTGTTGTTCAAATGTATTGAAAGACGTATATTCTTCATCGAATCAAATTGTCATCAATCATATGTTGTACTACAATAAAATACTTAAATCATCGTTGTAACTAATATTCATTTGAGATTAGAGAAATCGTATACGAAAAGAATGAGAGACGAAAAGAATTTTTCATAAGGTGTAAATTTAAAAGTTTCGTATCTACCTTTTGATTCCACGTAATTTTTGAAATCGTCGAACAACATCGGATGGCTCAATGGTTATGGTAGTGTCCTGTAGAAACGACTTTTTTCTATTCTTATTCTCGTAACACTTTCAGAATTCATATTATAATTTTATTTTTCACAATGTGAAATTGCCTTGAATTGAAAATAAAATTATCCTTGGAAGTACATTTTAGTAAAATAAATCAATTATTATTTTAAGAGGATAAGAAATAATTGGCAACTTCAGTTGCCGTTGGGGAGTAATAACATAAAAGATTCTATTTTTTCTATCATTTGTGAATAGAATATGGATGTGTTGAAGTGAAGATCTTTCGACCTTACAACTATACACACGCACCAACAACAAATGGTGCTTATATTTATGAATAAGGGCAATCTACTTACTTATCTATGCGTAAATGTTAACAAGTATTATGTTTAGATGAGAATGTCTAAAAATATTTTTTTCATGTTATTACCCCTCAATGGCAACTCTAGTTGCCATTTTATATCATACAGTCTCTTGTTCGACTAATTCATATGAAACTTCTGAAACACAAAGGCAATTTTCATTGATATTTATCACATCGTATATCATCAAGATATATATTTTTTCGTTGATAAATAAGTCATTAAAAGAAAAGATGTTCTTTTTTTTTTGATTTATAATGATCTCATACTTGTCTCTGTTGTAAGTCGTATAAGTTGGAGACAGATCAATGATACAAAATTTTTTTTTTGTGCCAATTAGTAACTGAGAGAATTCTCTACACATAATGTGCAAGGAATTTTTTAATATCCCGCATTCTACATTTTCTGCAATGTTTCTAAAAATGGCAATTCCAATTGTCAATGGGGAGTAAAAGGTTAATAAGCGATGTAAAAGTCATTGAAAAGAATGTTGAAATTTATTTCTCAATAGTAAAACATTCGGATTGGCTTCGACATTTTTTTTGTTGTTTAAAAAAGCAAAATTTGAAAAGTATATACACATAAAACAAAACAAATTTTGAGAATGTCAATTTTTTTTTAATATCGTTTCCGTTCTTGTGTTCCGGCGGGAAACGGAAACAAAAACTGTTCCCGCAGGACACTAAGTTACATCAATGACTAGTAATAGATATGAGAATTTATTTAAAAAATAAGTCCAAGAAGTTACTATTTAAATTATTTTAATAAAAATTTTGTTATAGTAATGGAGGAGTATTTGGTACACCAATTATCAATCCACCACAGTCAGCTATTCTTGGTATGCATGGAATATTCGATCGACCTGTCGTTGTTAATGGCAAAGTATGTGACATTTATATGAGTTTCTTTTTTATTGTTTGTTTCTTTTTTCTGTTAGATGGAAATTCGTCCAATGATGTATGTAGCACTTACATATGATCATCGTATTTTAGATAGTCGTGATGCTGTTCTATTTCTTCAAAAAATTAAGCAATATATAGAAGATTCTCGTACTATTTTTCTTGATTTATAAAGGTCTCATATCTATTTATTTTATGCTATTCATAATCTTGTTGTTTTATTGTCAAGTCTTTCAAGTCTATTGTGATACATTCTATGTTTTAATTTTCTTTTTTCGTTTTTTTTATGGATTTTATTTTTATACAAGAAAACAAAAGGTTACACAGGATAGTCTTCTTTGTCTTTGTTTTGCTTTTCTTTTTAATGGTTAATCGAAGGTGTATGAGAGAAGAAAGAAAAAAAAAAGAAAATGAGAAGACAGTGTAATGCGAGATAGATAGAATGTTTGTGGTCATTGATTGGATTTTGCATTTGAGCGGACATTCATTCGATTGCCTTGAAGCGTGCAGTAAAGCATACATACAATTGATGTGATTTCATCTTCTTTCTATCGTTCTCTTTCTTTTTTTTTTTTTCTTTTGTGGTTTCTACTGGATACATGTTGATAGAAGTGTACATAGAAGTAAAGCAAGAAGAGAGAGAGAGAGAGAGAGAAAAAATCAATGTTGATCATCTCTTTCTGTTGCCTGCCTTTGCCGTAAGGAGTTGAAAGTAATATTTGGTGTTTCCTTTCTTTTCACTTAAACACCTGATGGTTGTTGGTAATGATAGTTAGTCACTGTCGTCAGCTACGTCGTATCAACTATGTCTGGTCATCATTATTATTATTATCGTCGGTGTTTTTCATTGAAACGAACGAGTGAATTTGCTCAACATTGGTTTCGTGAACGTACATCATCCTTATCACGTCGACATCAATCTCTCAAACGTGATACTTCATCGACTACTGATATCAGTCAGAAGGTAGTTTTGTTGTTATTGTTGATAGTTGAATGATTGACATTAAGGATATATGTATATATTGATGTTTCTATACATATCTATTGATAAAATAGATTAAAAAAAAATTCTAAAATGATTTCTATTTGTAGAACATTGGCCAGAGAATGGCCAAAAAAAATTATGATCTTCTATTTAAACTATTATTAATTGGTGATAGTGGTGTTGGCAAAGTGAGTAATTAAAGAAATAAAATAATATCATGAATTATTTTCATTGATTTTTTTTTTGTATTTTTAGACATGTATTTTATTTCGATTTTCTGATGATTCATTTAATGCTTCATTTATTTCCACAATTGGTATCGATTTTAAAATAAAAACAATCGAACTTAATGGACGAAAGATTAAATTACAGATATGGTAAAATGATCATTCGTATCTATAAGCTATAAAAAATTTTGTTAAATCTAACAATAATAAAAAAAAAAGAACCTATATAATAGAGTTATGTATTTTCTAAATAATCTTATAACAAATAGTAATATGCAGTTATTAAAAAGGAAGTAATAACAATAGACTTGTACATGAATATGTATTGGAAAAAAACGAGACTGATAAAGATAATCATCTGTACTGATATATCATGTTACATGTTATATAATCAAGTGTTTTTAGGTAGAACTTTTCAAATAATTTTTTTTCTTCTGTAGGGATACTGCCGGTCAAGAACGATTTCATACAATTACAAGTAAGATTTATTGAAATTTATTTTAATACCTGTCGGTCTTAAAGAGATATACAACAAGATCACATTATGAAAGATTAAAAATACAGACAAAGAGTGTAAGATATGAGAAAAGAATATTCAAAAACTAAAATGTTAAAAGCTTTCGAAACACTCTATAGAACATAGTTAGTCGTTTTTATCTAGCGATACTATTAAGTCTTTCCTGCCGTGCCATGTCGTCCATCTTACAGTCAATACAAACATATCCATATGGTGTACGAAACATTTTGACCTTCGTAGACAACAAATGTTTGAGTCACCTTCATACCATCTGGTTCTGTGAGCATTTAGTAATAATTGCTCTAGTAACAGTCGTCAATTGAGTGATTTAGACAGAATTTTAAGATATTTTTCCCAATAGATATAACATATATCATCTACTGAATGTTTATCATAAGTAGATGCAAAGAAGAGATCATCTTAATAATTGCAGCGTAATATTTATTTAAGACATGTATCGTAACAGTGATTAAGTCCAGACTGTTGACAGCTGGCGAGCAATGAGTAGAGAACGAACAGCTTCATAAAAAAAAACAGAAGAACGAATATAGAAAACAAGGCATGTCGCAGAGTTACTGAAGAAGTACCACTTAACTTTATTGAAATTGATTAGGTCTATTTGTTGACGGACTCGAAGACGAGTTCATCCATTCTAACTTGCTTATTAACTAGTAATTGAGATACTTAAACGATGAAATCCATTTCCATTCGATATTGAAGCTTTTACATCGAAGTATCGGCGCATCAGATTCGAGCAGTTGGGATGGTACACAGGCAGAAAAGATAGTCTGTGTTTGCTTTTCAGTAATTAGTGAATTGCACCTGCCAATATCGAATATTTTCTTTTTTTATATATAATTTTAGCATCGTATTATCGTGGAGCAACGGGAATAATGCTTGTTTATGATGTAACACAAGTTAGATCATTTGAAAATATTAATAAATGGCTACGTAATATTGATGATCATGCATCTGATGACGTTGTTAAAATGCTTATTGGTAATAAATGTGACATGGACGATAAACGTTGTATTACTCGAGCACGTGGTGAAGCATTAGCACGTGAACATGGAATACCATTTCTTGAGACATCAGCAAAAAATAATATTAATATAGAAAAAGCTTTTTTCGAAATGTCACGACTTGTATTAAATAAAACTCCATTAAATTCATCTGAATCAACAATCGGAGGATCGATTGGTGTATTACAAGGAAATAAACCAACAAATCAATCGAACTGTATGAATTGTATGTAAAATGAATTGAATGGAAATATCAATCAATCATCAGTCACCAAGTAGAGAAAATTTATTTGTCTTATTTGTCGTTAACGTCGCATTTTTTTCTCTTTATCTGTTGTTGATTCTATTTCTCTCTGTCTCTCTTTAAACAGGAGTGATCGCATGTGTAATTTTCTTTTTTTTTTTGTTGGACGGTATTTGAATATATTGAATTAAAAAAAATAATACATTCACAGAGGAGGGAGGATGATGAGTAAATTGAAGTAAATATTAAAATTGATACTGTGCTACTTAGAAATATATACTCTGACAAGTATCATTATATGATTAATATCATATTCTATGTAATTCTCATAAAATCAAGAATTAAGTGATGTTATATTGATTAAATCTCATCTAAATTATGATAATCATAGAAAATGATAATATCAATGATTTTGAAATAGATTATATTATGTATATGCGAAGTTATTTAAAGAACAATTTAAAAAAAAAAGGAATATATATATATTAAGAAATCGGTCTAATTTGTGTCATTGACCGATGAAAATAAAGTTTGATAATATTTCTTATATCACGATCGAGTATAAGTGTAGCAATTTTTTCAATTGCTACTGTCAACGATACTGTAACAATACCAATTCCATATAAAATATGAATATTAGTTAATATATAAAGTATCGTTGGTATAGCACCTAATGTATATATAGCAAATAAAATCATAATATTACGTAAAACTTCAAGATCACGATTTGATTGTCTTGTTGTTGTCATCATAAATACTCTATATTTAGGATGTTTAATACAAACATAAATATAAATATGTATAGCAAATATTAATATTGCTGGAATTAAATAATAAGCAACAACAGTATATATTACATGCAAAGTAAATTTTCTCGGTACCCAACAAAGAGCAAATGGACGATAATAAATATGGTTAGTAAGAAGTGCTGGTAAAGGTATTAATAAAACTATAATCCATTGAATACAAATAAGAATAATATGAGTTTTAAATGAAACGATCCATGAATATTTAGCTGAAAGAATCGAAATAAAAAATCGTGATGTAGCTTGGGCTAAATAAGAATACAGAACAGCTGCAACTGCCATATAACCAAAATATCCACGCCATCGACATGATGAATCATGTATTTCCCATTGAATAAATAAAAGAAAAACATAGTTAACACATTGTACTATACAATAGAATATCGATGAAATAGATGTATT